TTTATTTTTTTGCACCACCGCTCTTGAGTACATTTCGCAAAGTTGTTCAGTCGATGACTTGCACATTTGCGTATTTTTCTCATTTGCACAGATTTGTGTGTTGGCGCAATTTCCCGCCCTTCGGCTGTTCTCGTTTTAGTCTTTACGCTTTTATTGTTTTGCCCCTTGTCCCTTTGCATGTTCTCGCATGCTTTTTTTTTTTTTTTTTTTTTTTTTTTTTTTTTTTTTTTTTTTTGTTTTTGTCACTTGGAATTTTGGGCAAACCAGGAAAAAAAAACAATAAGGCAAATGTAAACAAGTGGAACTCCACTAAACACAGTGCAACTCCAGTAGAGAGTGCCACCCAAAGCGTAGCAAAGAAACGCAAACACAGGCGCATGGCGCTAGCTACGCCTTCCGTGTGAACACCCAACACGTGGAAGAGAATTGTGCACACGCCATGAGGCCAAACTTTCTTCACCAGTATGCCGCCCCCTTTTTTTGGTGACCAGAGTAATCTCTCCGCGTGGTGAGGGGTATGCGGCGTATAAAACCATAACAAGGTTAACCATGTGACGAGTTTTTTTTTTTGTGCGCACACGTCTTCCAAAGTAGTGCAAGTCGTGTGTCCACGAGCCTGCCTCATCTATGTCATATAGCTACCAGTCTGTTCCTTCCCTTATTCTTCCTCTTTTTTTTTTTGTCCCAATTGGACGCACCTTGTTCTTTTTTTTTTCCTTGTTTTTGTCCCCGTTTTTTAATTGTGTCCCTTGTGTAAACTGCACACGACTAGAGGCAACATGGCAACGTTCAAATCGATATGTGAAGACGCACTCAAGGAGAGAAAAGAAAATATCGGACTTGAGAGAGTTCTGGGTAGAGTATTTGATGAATTGATCACAGAATTTAAGGCCAAGTTTATTAAAAAAATATCCTTCCTTATTCACGAAGCGAAGCATAATGACTCCACTTTGGAAATTGCGCAAGGGGGGATTCAATATAAACGGGGAAAATATGAAATAAAGCAGAAGGAGTTAAAGGGAGGAAAAAGACACACAAATGACACATTGGGTATTTACTTAAGCAGCTTCACAGATTCAAAGAGGAAGAGTTTGTTCGAAAAAATAAAGAAAGAGATTGACGACCAAGAGGCGGACGATGTCACCGAGGGGAGAAGCGCCAGGAACAGATTAATCACCAACGGATTGACCACTTTAGGGGAGCGCAAGATATACGGCATGAATGAAAAAGTGAACCTGGAGGATGATGGGAAGAAAAGAGCAGACGAGGTGAGTGTGTTGGACAGAAAGGGTAGAACAGGAGGTAGCACACGAAATGAGCTCTCCGATATGCAGAGTAAAGCCGGGAGTCGCAAGTCGGGCAAGAGTGCGCGCAGTAAGGACGCAGCTGGCGATGGGGACGCGAAGGGGTTTGAGCAATTTGGGAAATTCGACAGAGTGGAGAAGAGGAATATGTCGGAGCAGCTGAGCACGTCAGACATGTCCGAGAGGTCTCACAACACGCGCGCTTCACACAAGTCAAGGACATCACGGGTGTCTGGTACTTCCCCTGCGTCATGCACTTCTCGCACATCGCGCACATCGCGCAAGACGAATCACCCCAAGGAAGATCTTTGCACGCTGAACGGAGGGAGTAACAAAAAGGGGAAGGATACCTACGAGAACATCATCAGCAAGTACACCATTAAACGATTATTTTCTAATAGACTGCACACAGACGAGATGAGTGACACCCATTGTGGCATTGATGAACACAGAGCAAACACACTTCGCAGTGCCCACATTGACAAAGCGAGGAGATACATGCTCGAGCCAAATGGCAGTGGTGCAAAGGGGGAAGCACAGTCAAGCATAAGTAATGAATGGACGAAAGCGCAGGACAAGAATTACAAAATTGTGAAGAGAGATTTTGACGAACGTTCGAAGAGGAGTGCCAAATCGAAGGCAAACTCGTTAGGGTCGGAACATGACCCACTTGACTTCCTCATCGCAGCAGAGGATAATGAAAGGAAGAAGTTGCAGCAGATGAGCGGGAGGTCACATGGCAATCGTAATTTGCAGGACAAAGTGGAGATGAAATCGAACAAAGGGGACCCTACAAGCGTTGACAAAAGTGAGCAGTTATTTTTTGAAGTCATTAGGGGGAAAAGACGGAAGCATCTCAAAGGCTTTGAATGTGACGATTGCAAATCGTTTTATGAAGAACTCTGTTCGGATGGCTCCGATGGAAGGAAAAAGTACAAACGAGGTGTGAAGCACCGACCGTGCAACAAGCATGAGACTAGCAAACCTACCCTGAACGAACTTTTACTTAAAAAGGACAGAGGAAAGACAAGTGAAGGAGACAATTACACAAGTCGCGTTAGCGAATATTTGAATGGGAACTACACGAGTAGTACGCAGCCACATACGGTTAAGTCATTTGGCGAGATGGCGCTGGTAAGCAGCTCAAGATATTTGAAGAGTCCTGAGGACAGTGTTGACATGGATTCTGGTAAGTACGCCGAAAACTGCATTGACAAATTTATGAACAAGTTTGAAGTGAAGGCAGAGAATGATAATAGCTTGGTGAAGATGGACCAAGTGCAGGAGGAGGAGTTTTACGAAGTCGACGACGTGGATGATGCAGGGGAGGCGGAAGAGGCCGAAGAGAGACGGAAAGAAAATAAGAAAAAAAAACTAATTCAGTCTTTTTCGCGCCACAGGTATCATAGCAAAGTTAATGATTCGCCAAAAAATTTCTGGAGCTTCGATTTTTTTAAATAAGACACGAAAAAAGTGGGGGAGGGGGAGGGATGGCCGTGGCTCATTTGTGCGCACACAGATGGGATAGTTTGCTTGCACGTTGGAAGCATAACCGTTGCAGCGCCGCTTCCGTTTCTCAACCCGTGTCCAGATCCAGCGCTCCACCCAGTGTTCATTTGTTCGCCCCTTTGCCGGGTGTACACACAAGGACGCGCGGCTCCCCCTTTGTCATTTTTTCAATTCACGTTGGCCTGTCGCCGGAAAAATGTCCTGGACTTGTTTCGCTGCCATCGTGAAGATATTTCTGCACGATATTAGTAGACCACACATTTCACATTGCGTGCGTCCTTAACGAATTTTTTTTGTTGTCCTTTTTTGCGTCCTGTCGATAGCGGCATTTTAGGGTGCCCCCATTTTGGAGTATGGCCATCGTGACACACGATTTGCATTATTTGTTTGGTGACGCAGGATGCGTTTTTTTTTTTTTTTTTTGTCATTATCGCGATTGTTGTCGCCATTGTTATTGTCATTATTGTCGTTGTTATTGTCGTCATGTCGTCATCCTTATCCCCATCCCCATCGTTGGCGTTTCTGCTTATGCGAACACGTTGAGGGCGCAGGTGGCGCGTGCGCCGTGGCTGATCGAGTCGCGACTTCAAAATAAAGTGTCGTGGAGAGCCGCTTAAAGAACAGTTCTCATCCAATCCGCGCCTGTTCTATGTCTTATTTTGATGGCCGAATTGGGGGAGGGAGACATGTATGTAAGTGTACACAAACATATATATATGTGTATATATATGTGTATAACGTGCGCACGCCCTGTTATTCGCTCAACCTTTCGGGGGAAACAAAGACACAAAACACAGTTCCAGTCCAACTCATGTCTCTCCTGTTGTTTTAAGAGGTCTAGTGCAACAGTCCCACTGGCAATTGCGCATAGCGTTGTGCAGTTGTGAGGGGGGAGCGCATGCATCATATTCACTCGGGGACGTGTGCGCATAAATATATCAACATGTCACGTGTATCTGCGGAGATGGACTTCTTCGTATGTTCCTGCCATATGTACACATACAAATGTGTGCAAATTTATTTTCCCTAAATGTTCGCTCTATAATAGCAGTTCAGATTCATCGTCCAATCGCTCATTTTTTTTTTTTTTTTTTTTTTTTTTCCTCGTTTGACCCATATGGAGAGGTGAACACAAGCGATCGATGTCACATTTGTAAAGTTAAATAAATTAAAAAGAAACATTCGGAATGCCATTTGTGCCGTGTTTGCAATGGCTTCGTAACACTTTTGCGATTATTTCCCCTTTTCCGTTTGGCTTTAAACAAGTTGATATTTTTTTTTTTTTTTTTGTTTTTAATTCGTTCAAAGTAGCGAAACGCGCATTTATTAGCCGTTACGTGCAGCAGCCAAGAACAGTTTCCAGGGGACGGCTTCTTCAACACCAACCATTTGAACGCACAACTTTTTGCTTTGCGCGGCGTGCGCAGCGTTGTTCTGTGGGCCCACCAATGCGACGGGATTGATTCACGAGTGCACATATGCTTGCAAGTATGATCGCACACATGTTGGTTTTGTATGCCCGAATCAGAGCACACGCATTTGCACCACCCCAGAGATAGACACATTATCGCGCAGCTCAGTGGGAGACAGCAAGAAGAAAACGTGATACACCGTGCTGGACATGTCATTTTACGCAACACGCTCTACGCCGTAACTAGCTTTGCGGGGCACCATTTTAAACTCAATGGGGATTTTCCCGCCCACTAATCATTTGTGATGTCGCGGTGGGCATATGTTACTACGCTTAGCTTACATGTCGCTGTGCACTCCTTTTTTTAAATTTTTTTGTCTATCTTTTATACCACACTACATCGCAATTGGTGACAAGCACATTTTAAGCACCTCCGCTTTAACGTATTGGTGAAGGGTGTTCCTTCGAATGAGCACACTTCACCATTTCGCTCAAAAATGAATGACCAATATGTGGGAAGCTTGCAAAGGAGGAAGAAGACCAAGGAGAGCAAGACAAGGGTAAGCGCAAAAAAGAACATTTACGGGTGGCTCACATGTGCATCCAAATGGGCTACGCGCGTGGAAAGTTCACCATGTCGACGTACACCTATACAGATAAGGTGCCACATGGCCACGTCGCTACATGATTGCCCTGTTTTTTTTTTCTCTCCAGAACGACGAAGATATTAGAGAGGTCAATGACCGAATTAACTATTCAATGGTTAGCTAGCCAATAAGGGAACAGCGCAAAGGGTGGCTCCTCCCCCACACAAAAAAAAAAAAAAAAAAAATACCATGGTTCATTTTGTGCTATGTGTTGTAAAATTATGGATAACTCGTGCAGATGGCTAAGTCTAATCGTTTCGTGAATGCGATTCACTTTTTTTTTTTTCCCCGTCATAAAAATTGCAGATAAATGACTACCACGATAGTAACTTCAAAAAAAATTTTTACATTAAGAGCATACGGACCGATGGCAACTGCCTGTTTAGGGCTGTGTCGGATCAGCTATACAACAACGAGGATAAGTACAAGGAAATAAGGAAGCTAGTGGTAAGTCTTCGGCTGTTCTACGGTGAGGCCAGTGGTCAGCTAGCTGTCTAGCCGATTATCCATTTTGGGCATTCCGATTGGGGGATGGGGCGCGCGCAGCTGAACGATAAAAAGGGGGAAATAATTTGCAGAAGAGAAAGGAAGCATGAGGACATATTTTCTATCCATGTGGACATATATATATATATTTTTTGCATCCCAGGTCGATCACCTACAGAGGAATGAGGAAAAGTACCAGCACTTCATCGAGTATGATGAAAGTTACAAGTCCTACATTGAGAGGTACGTCCTGGGGGGGTGGTAGGACTGCAGTCAGCTGGTCGATGCGTTTGGAGTATGCGTGACGCGTGTTGGTACGTATGACGTCTTTGCCATGTCCAAGGAGAATGAGGCCCTATCGTTATGCTTATCATTAGCCTTCTACGCACCGCGCAGCACCAGTTCGCTGGCGCACAAACGTCCTTCTACACTCCTGCGACGTTTTTCCTTCCTCTCAGAATAAGTCTAGATGGGACGTGGGGCGGTCAGCTGGAACTGCAAGCAGTAGGCGAGGTGTTCACCGTAAGACCTGAGGGGGGAAAATGAACCAATAATGTGTACATAAACGTGTGCGTATGTGTGAAGAGGTTTTTTGTTGCTGTCTTCAGGAGGAGAGAGATATGCCCCTTGTAGTGAGAGCTAAGTGAGAAGCAAGTGGCGTGCATTCAATCCTGTTAACAGTGTGAAGTCATGCTCTGTTGTTACCTGGGGCGTATGCAAAAAATGCGATGAACCCTTTCCACATCCCCCCGAACTACTTACATGCATTTTTGTGCAGGTGAACATCCTGATCTACCAAGAAAACGAGTGCATCCTGGAGATCAAAAATCACAGTGATGATGAGAAGTGCATCCAGCTACATTACGCTTCCAGTGTAAGATGAGGCAGGTCCCATGGGGCGAGCTCGCCGTTCATATATGTATATACATACACATATATGTATGTAAACCCATTCGTGTGTTTGCCCTGCAGTTATCGCTATGCAAAGTGTGTCACATTTTTCACACGTTGATTAATCCCACTTACCACCCCGCAGGAGCACTACAACAGCGTCCGATTTAAAAATAGGGCTCTGGAAAACCAACTCAAGTCAATTGTGGAACTCCGAGAAATAGTAACCAGAAAAAAAAAAACAAAAAAAAAAAAAAAAGGGAAGTTGGCGCGATGTCGAGGAGAATGCCCATAGACGGAAGAGACTTCGCCCCCCTCTTAGCAGAGCACATATAAAACGCACAATTTGTATCACTTTTTATTTTTTTTTCCTTTGCGCAGCTAAACAACAATGACGATAACGAGTCCACCAAGACGTTTTACGAAACGACGGACAACGAGCTGACAGAAGACAACGAAAATGACCTGTCTGAAAATACTGGCAACGAAAATAATAACCCTGGAGAGTGGGTTGATGAGAAGGAGTTCACATTTAATAGTTCATTGGAGGAGGACTATGTACAATATGATTACCCTAAGGAGAATAAGCGAAACAACATTTTTTCCCTCAGTGATGATGAAACGGAGCCTTGCTCATTGGACATTTTACAAAATATACATAAAGGTATTAAAAGGAAGGGCGTGAGGAGTAGAAGCATGCCAAATATTAACGAGAGATTTCTTTATTTCTTCGCCAAAGATGAAGTCCATGAGAGCATGGAGAGTGACAGCACCATAGATGTGCTGAATGAGAAAAAGGGATTCGATATGAGGAAGCCTAAAAAGAACGAAAACAAAAAGTTGAATTTTCTCAAGTATAACTATATTGGTGAGAAGCCCGATGATCTGCTGACCGAGTACGTGTCCTCCACTGGCAATGCCGCTGCCTCTATCGGCGGGGAGAACAAAACCATTCGCATTTTTTACAATAAGACATTTTACAAATACCTGTGCATGTCCAAAATGATGGAAGTAGAGGATAAGCATGTGGAGGACAAGGTGGGCAAAAAGCTCGATCTGCTCAACGGCCATTTTGTGTGTGGCAATGGAGGGGGCGAGGCATACAGAAGAACGGCACAGGAGAATGCAGTACCAGGGAAATCATATGACAGGAATGAGGCCAACCGGAATGGGTGCCAAACGGCAGAGGCGCCTATCCCCCTGAAGCACTTGGACAGTTCAACCAGCCAGGGATACATTTCGAACTACGAATTGGAGAAGAACTTTAGGAGGATGAAGAAAAAGGAAGAGTTTCATGATTTTTTAAATCTGTATAGCGAAAAAATTTCATACAGCAAAAACTCCTTCTGCAAGAGTATGTCGACCAACGACTCCAAGTGGAGTCATGCGGAGGGGATGGCCCCAATCAGTGAGCAAGCCAATGCTGAGTTCTTAAATTGTGAATATGCGACAAGCTTATCTTTGAATAAGACTTCCAGCAGCAATGAAGAAGTAACGGGTCCTTCGTTTTACTTCGATAAGGATTCGATCAGCTTTGAGTTTCGGCCCGATGTGTATGGCAAGGGAGTTGACAAAAATATTTTAGCAGCAGTGGGTGATGAGGCAAACAAAGGTGTCCCACTTCAGAATGAAAAAGGGAAGAAGATCTGTTGCAATTTGAGGAGGAAGTCTCAGGACATCTTTGACATAATAATTGATGAGGACTATGTCCTAAGCATGGAGAGCAACTTGTTGTGTTCTCGCATTGGCAATAAGCACGTGGGTCGAGGGAGTTGGCATAAGAAGAGGGCGATGTCTCAACAGGAGGAAGCACTATCATCGCGGATGTGTGCACGGGGAGGGAATATATCTTACCGTGATGCCAGCCCTTGTGTGTTGAATTCGCGAACGTCATTTTCCTCTTCGAAGGTGTCAGGAGTGGGGACAAATAACCAAATTGCCGCCAAAGTTGGGGGCGGGCCCAACTGCAGGATTAGGAGGAGGAACCACGAAGGGAATTTTTCTAGTGGCGAGGGAAGTGGGAACACGTCTGGACATTCGCATGCAGATGCATTTTCACACCCGCGCATAGACGGTACCCCCCGGGGAAGCCTAAACTCGAGGGACTTTTTCCTAAAGAAGAAATACCTGAACAAAAAATTTATCAACATGTTTTCGAAGGATGTCCATTCGAAGAGTCTCTTCCATTTTTTAAACGCTGATTTTCTACTCAGTGGAGACAACATAAAATATATAATTCCCTTCCTATTCAATAGCAAACAAATTAATATATTTAAGGACAACTTGAACAGGAAGGATTTCCACTTTTACGAGTACGTGACCTTTTCGTTTAACCTGGACAGGCAGAAATTGAGGAAAAAAATTGAGTGCTCCAAAACATTAAATGAGGAGTTTCTCATTAAGGAGAAGCACAAATATAGTAAGTTCACACGTGGAGGGAATGGCAAGTCGTCCTGTTCTGTGGGCAAGGGTCGGGAGAACCGGGTGAGGATCATTTCCCTTTAGCGCGTTATGCACGTCTTTGTTTGTATTTGCACGTTTAGGTTTACATAGTTGACGTTTTACCGTTTTACAAGTGTGTGGTGTGACATGTGGCTTCATTTTTTTTATACATTACATGGGAAGCCTTTTTTGTTTTTTTTTTTTTTTGTACACAATTTATGACATGTGTGATACAACACGTTTGATGTGCTCTCGTTGAGCAACTGTTGGTTTTTTTTTTTTTTTCCGGGGTTACCGCGAGCCCGCCCACCTTGTCTGCTTAAAATGGTGGTAATTTTGCGCGGGCATTTGAGACCAGTCCGTTAGGAACCTGTGTCGGGCAGCTCTTTGGAAAAACTCGTTGCTGTCTCCCATTTTTATGGCCCATATTGCGACTTCATTTTTGTACCCCCGGCGAACAACGGTCCGTGTCAGGCCTTCCAAAGGATAAGCGCACGCGCCGAGCAGTTGGGCATTTTTGCCCTACGTTCATATTGTGGCCTGGCCATTTTGTATTATGCTTGCATCCGGTTGTTCGCTTCATCCTCTCACAAATGAGCAACAGGAAAAGTAGCACAATCGATAATGATAACGCGATGTGCGTGATGAACTTGTTAAGAGATATGCCAGAGCGGCTTTACTGTATACTCAATTCACCTCCTTCCACAGAAGGACGAACTGCATGGATGGCAGTTCCATTTCCAAAGGGGCAAGTTTCTCTCCCAAGAGATGCACACAGGGGGTGTAGCTAATCTGTCATGGGTATCGCCCTCAATTTTGTCACTTCTACCTCATTGAGGGTCTCCTCTTGTAGGGGCGGCAGAGCTACTGCTGAGGGGTAAGCCCAGGGGAGGGGAGATGCTAAACTGGAAAATCGCCAAATGGAGAGGCCAAAATATGGTGAGTTCACGCACAAGAGGGGAGGGCGCGGGGGAACAAACATGGCGCCTCGATTTGCTATTCATTTTTTGCTTATTCCTTTTATTAGATGCATTTTCCACAAAAATCTACCTTCGCGAAAATGTGCACGTCATTATATAATCGCTAGAGAGGAAAATATACGGACGTGTACATGCATGCATTACATACAGATAGCCATTTTTGTATGCGGTGTGGAAAAAAAAAAAAAAAAAAAAAAAAAAAAAAAAAAAAAATATTTTTGTACATGCCTCACATAGTTTAGTAATATGCACAGCACAGGAGAAACCCATGTGGGCTAATCGCTGATTTTGTGTTACGTGCGAGTTGCTACAACTGAAGCGCTGGAGATGGAAAAATGGTAAATTAAATTGCAACGGTGTTTTTCAGGAGCAAATGTTGTGTATACGTATAGAAAAAGGGGGAAAAAGGGGACACGCCTTTTTGATGCTACAATTTTATTAGCATTACTGTTTTACTTATAATAGTTATTCTTTTTTAATTTATTTTATGTGATGGGAAAATTCGCAAGGATTAGTTCTGAGGGAAGGCGGAAATAAGTCCCTGTGTGAGGGAATCACCATCGGGTGATATACCCAAGCACGTAGTGATAAAAAAAAAAAAAAAACGGCCAAGGGAGAAATTATGTAACGTTGCCCCATTTGGTAAGTTTTTCCAAATTTGCCACTTTGGACTCCCTTACTTCGTTTCCCCCTATCGGCTTGTTTTCCGCGTTTTCCCTTTTTCGGTTTCTTTTCCGCGACGCATACAAGCCGTTGCAGCAAAATGAGCGAAAAAAATTTGGCCCCACCGAGTCAGATTCAAGAGCAGGTGGGGTGTAGAAGTGACGCCAGCGAACACATTGAAGAGCGTAAAGGCAAACATGACAATGGTGACATCACAGGGGATGAAACAGTAGGGAGCACCGAAGAGGGAAATCAAAATGCAACAATACAGGAGACCGAAAAAGGAGAAACAAACGACGCCCTAAATGATGTCATCAGCAAATACTTAATGAATGTCACTTGTGAGCAAAAGGTCGCTTCAATCGATAACGCCAATGGCATGGTGGCCAACACACTGGCGGAGGATATATACCCATATAACTACCTCTACCCAAACGGTGGTGTGGAAAGCTGTTGGAACCATGTAGGCAACCCCGAGCATGCGGCCTTCACTGGCATCAGCAACTTTGTGGTTAGCCAAACGGATGAAGCTGCTACCTTGGGCGGAAACCAAAATAATAACACATGCGCAGTGCAGTTGGGGACAGCAAGCGATGAGTACATGCTACACCCAAATGAAGACACACTTGCAAATCAAAACAGTCACCTTAATTATATAGGTGTAGTAAATAACATGTGCGGAAATTATGAACCCTATGGAGGTGCCTTCCAAAATTTTAATTACCACAGTGAGGAAGAATTCTTTCATGATGCAAATGCAAATGATGTAGATGGGTACAGTGACACGTATAGCGAAATGAAAAGCCCACCTCCAGAAACAACGCAGAAGAGAAAAACTTATTCAGACAATATGGACATGTGTGGACCGACGAGCAAAATGAGGAGGAAAGGAATTAACAACTGTTACTCAGTCGAAGAGACACATAAAAATGGAGAAAACAATTTGGAGGGAAAAAAAAACAACCTATATAGAAATAACTCCCAGTGGAAAACGAAAGAAAGAAGTCCCTCATACCTCAGGGAACATTCTGGGCTGTATAAAGGGGCCTTCAAAAAATGGGATCGTAACCAAATTGGCACTAGGGAAAGAAAGGAAGCAGGAGAAGGAGGGGATAATAGCCACGATGTGGTGGGTAAAAAACCATTCTTGAGTAAATGGGATAACGTCGATGAGGGGGGAGATAGCTGTCACCAAGGTGTTCCCCCTGGGGAGACATGTTATAATGACTCCAGAGGGAATTACCTGGGGAGGGCAAGTCAGTTTGGTAGAGGCAGATCAAGTCAGTATGGCAAGGGAAGGGCAGGCCTGTATGGCAAAGGCAGGTCAACTCAGTACGGTAGAGGTAGACTCAGTCATGTGGAGAGGGGGGGGAGGTCCCTCACGCATGACGCAGATAAGTCCACTCAGGATGACCGTGACCGATTTGGGAAATACAACGTTGATCAGCCGAATCAGTATGGTTATAATGGACACAGTCAGTATAAAGCGAATAAAAACAACCAGTACGATCGTGACGAGGCTGTTCAGTATGAGCGTGGCAAGACCAACCGGCACGACCGCGGCCATGCACAGGAAGCCGAAGAAAACCGTGACACGTACCGAGGGAGGAAATACAAGTGCAACATATTCGACGAAGAGTGCTACATCATTGAGTGCAAAAGTTATGGAAGCGAAGAGATGGAGGTGCCGGGCCCCCTTAACAGCATGGAGGACTTATGGTACGCCTTGAGCGAGCGAGTGGAAGTGCGTCTGCCAGTCTGTACAAATTTCACATGAGCACACTTACGCATTCACTCAATCTACACCTACTTCCTCCGCACGTTGACCCATTTATTCCCATTTTGTGCGCGACCACATGACACAACTCATACTTCCCCCTCCACCACCGCGCAGCACCCTATGTGGAAACAACCTGTACAGGAACATCTGCGAGAAGGGATACAGCCAAATGACTACGGTTCAGAAGTACTCCATCCCAATAATAATGAAAAAAATGAATTTGATTGCGTCTTCACAAACAGGAAGTGGAAAAACTTTTTCCTTTCTCTGTCCAGTAGTTACAAATTTGATGAAAGATAATGACACGTTGAGGCCTCATTTCCCTGGGGCCTACGCGTGCGTTTCTCCCTTGGGGTTGGTCCTCTGCCCCACGCGAGAGTTAGTCCTGCAAATATTGCACGAGGTAACCTTTATAAATTATGAATGGGGGGGTGAGGTCCTCCAAAAGGGGGGCATTTACATGCGTTTCAGGAGGTTGTAATCGGTGTAGAGATTTTCAGGGGTCGACATACAAAACTCCATTTTTTTTTTTTTTTTTTTTTTTTTTTTTTTTTTGTGCGCCCCTCCAGGTTAACAGTTTGACGAAAAAGATGGGTCTCGTTTGTATGGCCTTTTATGGAGGAGAGACGATGAAAGATCAGGTAGGTTCACCTCTCTGTGTTTTGACTGGACCTTTGGTGTGTATCCTTTTTTCGAGGATGAGCTCCTTTGAAGATTATTTCCTTCTCCTCGGTCATCGCTACCCTACTCAATAACCACCTTTACACCACAGGTTGTGCAGATAAACGAACGTCAGGCGGATATTATCGTGTCGACTCCGGGGCGACTACTCGATCTAATGAACAGCTGTAAGGTCAGTCTGTCTTTTGTGAAATATTTAATCTTAGACGAGGCTGACGAAATGATTTCCCTTGGCTTGAAGGAACAGATGAACGCCATATTATTTGAACAAGATCTTTGTGCTAATGATGCTAGACAGACCATATTATTCACAGCTACCTTCTCCGATAGTCTGCGGGAGGATATTGAACAGTTCATGGCCACTCCGTATGTGTTTTTGAATATCACACAGAAGAGGGAGGTGCGCAATTCTATTAAGCAGGTAGGTGGACAGCCCCCAATTTGTGTCGGCGTGCTTTTGGCGGCGTACGCAATGTGCATGCACTTGTGTACGTACGCTTATTGGGGCGTCCTTATTGAGACTGCGTTAATGGAACTGCCTTATTTGCGCGCTCGTGTGTCCACCCCCTCCGAGCAGGTTGTCAAGTACGTGCCCGCCAAGAGTAAGCAGGACGAGCTGCTCAAGGACCTGAAGACTCTGCAGGGACAAGCCATCATCTTTGTGGAGCTGAGAAGCTCAATTAATTACATTTTCTCTTTGTTGAAGTCGAATGGGTATAACGTAAATTACCTGCACGGGAAAATGAGTCAGGTAAGTTATAGACCCTTAGGTCTTCACATAGGTTGGGTGGTTTGCGGTGATGACAACCTGGTCACCAATGGGTATAGCGACCTGAAGTGCGAGTTCGTTGGCACCCCCGTGTGAGCTCCTGCTCCTGTGGAATAATTCATCTCGAATTGTAAATATATATGACGCGTACATGCATTGGGTGAACAAATGTAACATGAAGCATGTGTAAAATTTGTACGCCAAAATGTTTGTCACATGGACTCAATGCTCCCCACACACACACACGCACCACGTGTAGGCTCGGAGACAAGCCGTGTTTCAACAGTTCCGCGATAAAGGATTTCAGGTGTTAATAGCTACGTCCATCGCGGCAAGGGGCCTAGATTTCCCCGACCTAGAGTTAGTAATAAATTATGACCTACCAGCCGAATTTGAGCAGTACATGCACAGGATTGGTAGGACAGGCAGGATTGGAAAAACCGGACTAGCCATTAACTACTTTAACAGTTCAAATAAAATAATTATTGACAAGCTCATTGACCATTTGAGGAAGTATGACCAGAACGTTCCCCAGTGGTTGCTCAATTTTAAGTAGATGGTTTGGAAGAGTTCTGTGAATGAAGAGAAATTTGTACAGGGTGCAAATAAGCTAGGGCATGAGAACAGACCTACAGCAGGCGTTTACGTGTGACATGTATGCAATTCCAGAGGAGAGAAATCCCATTCCTTCTGCTTCTTTTTTTTTTGTGTGTTTGTGTGTGGATAACTCCGCGTGCGCGTTATTTTATTTATCGCATTTGTGTGATATTCTTATTTAAGAAGATGGAGTTAATTAATTACCCATGGTGGGGAATGACCTTCCCCCTATGAATTTTCCTTTTTCATTCTTTGATTCTGCCCTTCAACAGCGTCGTTTTGTTTCGTTTGAATCATCCTCATTTGTCCTTCCACTGGGTATGCATAACATGTACATGTACATGCATATCCAATAATGGAATGCCAATATTGTCTACACCAGTGCTGTTGACAACGCCATTTATATATTCGTTTTTTTTTTTTTTTTTTTTTTTTTTTTTTTGCTTTAATTTGCGAGTCTACACATTTGCGCGGGGGTAAGTAATGAGATAATTTCTCAATATGCATGTGGATGGAGTGACGTCCATGTGTGCCTGTGCGCAGCTGTGGAGAGAGTCTTTACACATATTTGAACGAACTTTTATTCGTACACTTTGCGCGGTTGCTCATATGTGCGCAAGCATACAAGTGTGAAACCTGAGCGCGCGTTTTGAAAAGGATTCTTTTTAAAGAAAAAAAGAAGAAAAGAATAAGTTGCAAATTGTTGACCTCGTTTGAAGTTTTTTCTCCCTGAAGAATTTCATTTTTCCAAATGTCAATTTTTTCAATGTTCTCGATCTGTTCAACTTGTTCAATTTTTTGGTGGAGTGCATGTGGCCCGTCCTGCCCCCTGGTGAAGCAGTCCAACAATATGAACAATACGAGCCGTGCCGAGCTGAGCTGAGCCAAGCCGACCCTCTCACTCGTTGCTCACCTGTTCGTATTCCTTACGAAGAGTGGGGCATATACATTATGTCCTTATGTGATACATGAATATTTATATGCAAATCAATGAAAAGGCGACGTAGGGTCAGGTTTTATTATCCACGTTCTTCTAATTTACCGACATATGCTGTTGTTCCGACACTGGTTCTTTGCTTGTTCACGCGATTGTGCGAAATGCTCCCATTTGTTCTTTCGCGCGCCATCAGATTTTTTGTGCCCGGTTTGCCTGTTCGTTGCTTTTTTTTTTTTTTTTTTTTTAAAACACTTCACGCGAAAATGGTTTATTTCGAACAATGCTTTATGCAAAGAGCATTTTTTTTTTAAACCCTTTTTTTTTTTTTTGTTCAATAGATATGTTTACCAATTTAGCTGCAACTATGTTTGGGAGAATTTAAGAAATAACAGAAAGAAAAGGAAAACCATTCCGAGTGAAGGGCAGGTTTGTATCTGGTGAATTGGGGAAAGGCATAACTCATTTATGCTGTTTTTTTTTTTTTTTTTTTTTTTTTTTGTACATTTTTTTACTCAGCGTTAGCACTACATTTTTGTACAGCTTTGCATATGTACACTATTCTTCGCCTTATGCGAGATTTGTCCCTTTTGCTCCTCTCAACGGATTCCCTGCCCCTGTTATTTCCTGCCCACTCCCCCTATGGAGGAGTGCACACCAAAACAAGGGCATACATGCAATTAGCGACTTCCTTGCCAATCGCAACAAGCTCCTGCCGCACGCACCACAAAAGTAGGCAACGCGTCGGATGAAAAGATATATTTTCCCCCACTGCGCAGTGGAAACTTTTAAAGGTAATCAGTTTAGCAGCGTAGGTGTATTCTCCACATGCCTTTTCTTTTTATCGTCACAAGGGGTGGGGACTACACCTACCGTTTTGCAAATTCGCAGCAAAGTTGTGCATATTCCCTCGCAGAGACTCTCACACACCACTATTAGCATCAAGACCACTCATAACACAAACAATAATTAAAAAAAAAAAAAAAGAGCAGTAATAAGCTGAAAGCTGCACATGCCCTCAAAAGGAAGAAGCCAGGCGCAACGGGTGTGTTGATTACATCCAACCACATTCTGCTCACCGCACGACACGGCGCTTCCCCTGTCCACTCGGAAAATCTCCCCCCTCCCCCCTCTACGCAAAAATGCTAAACGAAGAAAGCGTAGAAGTTGAACTTGTAAAATTAGAAAACGAAATAAGTAAAGGTGAAAGTAGCTTTGAAAAAAAAAAAAAAAAAAAAGTTCAATTTTCAGACAAAAATGAAACCATATATTACGAAAAAGACGAAAATGAAAACAGCTATTTCAATTTTGCCGTTAACAACTTTAACTACTTTGAATGTTTCTACAATGAGATGTATAACTGTGACTTTGATGAGAAGGAATTTAAGGCTGGGAATTCTTTCCTAAATGAAGAGGATCCTAAAGGGGGCAGTTATAATTCCCTTGAAATTTTCGAGGCGAAGGATTCTTCTGATGAAAGCACCAGCAAAGAGAATGGCAAAGCGAGAGGGGTAGTTAGAAGAGGCTACGTCGCCATGAGTACTGGGGAGGATGACTCTGCTGAGGGGGCAACGGATGCGGAATCAACAAAAGGTTCGTCTTCTAATCAAAATGGAAAAAATCAAACTCTTAAAAGAGAAAGGTTTACTCATTCCTTTAATGAAGATTCCTCCTTTGAAGTGAACGACGTACATGCAGCTATTTTAAATGCAGAAGAAAAAACTAGCAACTACAGTGAAGACTATTTCGGGTTCAACATCGAACCGTTTAATATGAAGAACGAGTTGAAGGAGGGATACATAGACAAGCATGGGAATTACATTTATAACGATCCAGACGGGGATGATTTTGAGGAGGCCTGGTTAAAATCAGTTGATGAGGAAGATCCGTTCACCTCATTTTCCAATAAAAAAATTAAAGCAAAAATACACAACGAAACGGTGTCTAAATTTGATAAGCAGCAAAATCACCATAATAATGGCCTCTCTCTGAATATATACGATGCGTTGTATTCCCTCTCTTGTCTCCTGATTGAAAAGGAAACGCCAATTAAAGCCATGGTTAGATACAAGAGAGATCTGAAGCTATGTAAAAATTACCTTAATGAATGCAAACTTAAGTTAGACAAATTCAGATTCGTTTCGGCCCCTCGCCCGAGCACTGCATCTTCCAAAGATCAGAATGAGTCCAAGTCATGCCAAGGGGCAGATGTGGACAGTTCCGGAGCGGACGAAGGGAAAAGGGACGAAGACGCCGGGGCCGCCGTGCGAGGATCGGGTAAGAAGAACGTTCTGCAAGTGAACTTGAAGAAGCGTGAAGGTGACGCGGTGGAGAAGGATACCTTGAAAAACGACGCGGTAGACAGCGAAGTCATTCCAAATGGAGATGCCCCAAGTGAGGAGGAGGAACATGAGGAGGGGGAGCATGAGGACGAAGAGAGCGAAGCGGCTCCCCATGAGGAACATCCCGTCGAGGACGAGGATCAGCCCGAACAGGAAGAACCCCCGGCGGAGGAAGCTACGGAAGAGGACAAAGTGGATGAACAGGAAGAACCCCCGGCGGAGGAAGCTACGGAAGAGGACAAAGCGGATGAAGAGCAGGAGGAAGCTACGGAAGAGGACAAAGCGGATGAAGAGCAGGAGGAAGTGACGGAAGAGGACAAAGTGGATGAACAGGAGGGAGACGCAGCTGAAGAGGATAAAACGCCTGATGAGGAGAAGAACGAGGCGGCAGAGAATGACAACCCCACGGCGGGAGAACAGCCAAACGAGTTGCAGAGGCTGGAGGAAACATACCAGAAGATAGCCCTGGACTACAAAACCATCGAAAGGAGGTTTAACAACTTGATAGATTTGACGCAGAAATTGACAAACGAATATAAAAACGTGTATTTCTTGGCGAAGCACGAATGTGAAGCCTTGTGCAAAAAGCTAGAGGAGTCCAAGGAGGAGAGTACAGACATACAGTGGCAGCTCAGGTGGACTAGCGACGTTAACAACAATGTATATGGCCCCTACAGCTACTATGATATATATAATTTAATATCCGTCGGAATTGTTTCAGCGGAAAATCCAATCCAGCTAAGAAGGATAAACAAGGAAAACAAAGTTTTAGAAAATATATGGCAGATGTACGATGCTGTCAACTACCTTACATTTGTTAGCAACGAGAGTGTTAAGAAAAAGAGAAAGTTGAGTGAAACGAACCACGTGGACGCGGAAGAAGATGGGAGCGACGAGGGGGACAACTCTGTGGATGACGAGTATGATATTAAGAAGAAGAAGCGGAAGAAAAAGGGCCTCATCCAGATATCGAAAAAGAAAGAGGTGTCCTCGACTAATGAGGATGACTCGGACAACGAAGAGGACGACTATGAAAACTATGACTACTGAGATGGGAGTAGCCCATGGATGTGAATAGAATGTGGTGAAGTATGCTGTCGCATGCTGTCTCCGCGTTGTCGAGCGTGTACGTGAAAGCGGCACACACGAGTGTGCACACAGTTAGTCTGGAAGAATACGCGAGAGGCAGGACAAAAGCATTTCCTCGCCTTGCATCAACAACACACTTTTGGGCCTCCTGCAAGTACTGCAAAGCCCCAGAACGGTCAAACATGTAGTGGTATATAAAGCGATACGTGGCACCATTTTTTTTCAGTTTTAAGCATAGTTCAAGAAGAAGAAAAAATTTTGCCCCCCATTTTGCTATCTCATTTTGACTAGCCATATTTTTTTTTTTTTTTCTGTGTCAAATTGGATTTTACCTAATGGTTAAACAGGCGACGAGTATGTGAACACAGTTTTTCATATTTTCGCATGAAGAGAGAGGTATACCTTTGGGAGGGTGGTCATGCATATGAAGGATGCCATGCAGATATATTTCTATGTGCCCATAAATATAAGGAGTGTGCGAGATGACAAGATGGACCTACACTACTAAAATTGGAAGCCATGGGAGGCACCGTTTTTTAAGGAACCATGTACGCAGAGCTTAACGTTGTTGGGATGTACCAACCAAAATTAACCAATCATTTTGTTTTGTTTTTTATATGAACAACGCAGGTGGGCGTTTTTAAATTGCAATTGTGCTGTTGCTCCCGCGTAGAAAGATGACCCCCGCCCCAGGACGTGTACGTATACAAAGACACGCATATACAGTTATTACTGCTGTCAGTCAGAATTCGCACTGGTGGCCCTTGAAAAATGTGTTCATGTCCAAACATGCCACCTTCTCATTTGGGTTTATACCCTAATTAGAGTATCATGTTGAATGCTTTCCTTTATTTATTATTTTTTTTTTTTCCTTTCTTGCTTAATTGTTTTAACCCCTTTATACAGTGTGCTATTCACAACGACGATGATGGGTATTATATGTTCTTTTTTTTTCCTTACCTATGCTTTTTCCCCCTTTGCCTATTTATTTATGCATTACTTTTATTATTTTTATTTTATTATTATTTTTTTTTGTTGTTGTATTATTTACACTCCCTGCATAGCAATGTATATGCAGATTGTAACGTGAGAACGTTACGTAGATTCAGCTTAGTAGTATATGATGTGCATAACATGTTGCGTGTGTGTATGGCTTGGCTCATACGTTAACGCCGTGCTGTTTCGTGTTTCCCCTTGCGCGCGCCAACGTTGTGTGGGCATGAGGGTGTTATATTGCCACCCGCATTAGTGCGGGCGGTTTATTCAGTTTTACGCGCTCCTGGTAAACTTTGCCAACGAAGCGAATTTAGCAAATTCAACCAATTCAGCCAATTCGGCCAACTTCTCAAATTAAGCAAGCTTAGCAAGTGCAGCTAATTTGGCTAATTTAGCTTATTTTTGTAAAGTGTGAATGTGCGCGAAACCAATTTGGAGAACCATTTAGCGGTTTTCCACCTCACAGGGATAATTTCCCCGGCGCAGCGCCTGGCATGATATAAGTGTACTTTAATAACGCCGAAATTGCGTCAAAGGTGTGGTTGAGAAAAAATGTAACAAGTGCGTGTACAAAGCAGTTAGCTTCTTTTTTTCCTTTTTTTTTTTTTTTTTTTTACATGAACATGGCATAAAAAAAGAAAAATGGCTAACTGAAAACTCAGTAAAGGGCAAAAAAGGAAAAAAAATTATATGAACCGTTCAGGTGGATTTTGATTTGTGAAGGTTTTAAAAGAAAGACTTTTCTTAAGGGGGGGTGGGGTTCTTTAAAAAACATGCACCTTTGCATGTATACTGGTTTATATATATATATTGTAAAAAAGGGGTACTTTTTTTTTTTTTTTTTTTTTTTTCCTTTTTAATCGGAACAAAGAAACATTAAGTTCAAATAAAATTTGCATTTCACTGAATTGGATGTTTTTGGAACAAATCGCAAGAAAAGGATATTTTGCCCTTTTTACAAAATTGTAATATGAACATATGAGCATTTATTTTACTTTGTTTTACTTTTTTTTTTTTTTTTTTTTCTTCTGCCCGTGTTGTGGGAAAAGCGAGAAAAGTTGACACCCGTGAAAAATGAACGTACAAGTATGTACAACAGTCATGTAAGGGTGTATTAAATAAGAGTGCGCAAAGTGTGTCCTTACTAAACTCTTGTTCATGCGAGTATATATACTGTACAGGAGCTGAGGCGTGCCATTTGCAAAGACGGGGATTTCTTTCCTGCGTCTGCTTTCGTGTAGGGCGTCCGTACGGGCGAGGGAAAAATTCCTACAAGGCCTATTTTTATTAATCCTTGCAGCACTCCATCAGCTTGCGTTGCTCTTTGCCCCCGTTTGGGTGCCACTTCCACTTCTCGTATTCGATGTCCATTTTTATGACATAGCACGATACCTGTCTACATACGCAGACTGGGATTATATACACGCCCCTGAGCACGCAGATTGCACGCATGTGCATATATATGTAAACCACCCCTTTGTTTTTTTGACCATGTCTCATATGCATTCGTCCTCAAGTGCGACGACCACCACCTACGTGCAAGAAGCAAACGAGAGGAACGAACAAAATGGAAACCAAAACACCTTTGTGCGAATTTTAAAGCTGACTCCCCAAAAAATGGTCAGGTGGGACGAAAACACTGTTGACAATGAGAACGCGCAGAAGAAGTCGTCCAAGGGTAAGGTTTCAGCGCCGGGGAAGCGCGAATTGCATACTCACGCCAATTCCTTAGGGGCGCGAACAGCATATCTGCATAACCTGTTAACCCCTTAACAGCGCGCTAGGCGACCTCACTTTTTGTTCCTCTCCAATTTTTCTGCGTAGTCTGCTGCATATATCACAAGCCTAAAGACTTTGGGGAGAGCTCCGACTCAGACTCGGATTCGTCGGAGGACGGAGGTAAGCAGCGGGGCGCTCGAGGGATAACAAAGAGAATGGTGCCAAGGTGCACGCTGCTGGGGAGGAAAAGATACCAGCAACACCAATAGGGAATGTGAAGGAGAATGCCAATGCCGAACCCTAAATGACATCCCGCGCACACGTCCACTCTTCCTGCAGGTGATCGCAAGGGTTGTTCTAAAAAAGATGAGTCCAAAGAACAAAAGTAAGGGCTCCTTTGTGCGTTGCGCACGATGTATACGTGGTGTTTCTATCCTTTTGTCTTTTGCACATGTCGAATTTTTCGGCATGCCTTCTCTCCTTGCAACCGGAACGAACTCTTCTGGTAAATGTTTTGCCACCCACCAGTTGCACATTCTGCACGTTCGTCCCTTCTCCCTATTAACAGGAAAGAAGAAAATGAAGTTAAGAAGTAGACAGAATTACGAAGTAGATGAGCAGCGGGCGGAAGGGACCCCATAGTCGAAGACGTGTAAAAATTGTAGAACGTTGCCTACACTGCAAGACAACTCTCTCATCAAAATAATATTTCTATTGGTTGGAGTACGAAACCAATTTTAATTTTTTGTAAATTTTATTTTTAAGTAATACTGTAAAAGTAAAAAAAAAAAAAAAAAATGCGCAGCTTCCATTTTTTCGTACACAACTTAAGGAGATGGCCTTTTTTTTTTTTTTTTCTTGCTCCCCCCAGAGTTACAAATTTGTTTCCTAATTTTTTTTTCAATGTAAACAGACGTTGAGGCTTCTCTTTTTGTTTCTATTTTTTTTTTTTATCATTACAACTTTGTGAATTAAAAAATCGCCACAACTTTTTTTTTTTTTTTTTTTTTTCCCCCCCTTCGCCATCTGGCAGGGGGTCATTTAAGATATGCCCAACAGTATAAAAATGACATGAGCATTTGCCGTTGTTTCAAAGTGAGAAGCAAAAACTGATAGTTTGCTTACTATGCATCCCACTTGAAATGATCAGCAATGGTTAGGTAGAGTGTCTTATTGATTGTGCTATCCGTGTGTGCTTCATTCTTCTGTTTAGTATTATCACGTTTGGGGAACCCCGCAGTAGTCTTGTGCCCCCTGTTGACGTCTCCCTTTTGCTCTTTCTGATTGGTTAGTGTTTCATACCCATAGTCATAAAACATTTGGATCCAAATTCGGTGTGTAATATGGTGACCACAGTTGACCAAGTACTCTGTTTTTTTAAAAACAAAATTGCCACTGTATTTATCGAGTACATGGATCATACACTTGAGGTACTCTAGGAGAAGCAGAGTTAAAAATTTGCGAGATTTTCTGAAATGGCATATGTGCCACATCAGCTCATCATCATTAACTATGAGTCTTTTATAATATTCTTCAACAAAATCGACAATTGAGATTTTTTCACTTTTTAAAATAACTTCTACTCCTTTTGGTACGTTCGTATCTTCACATGTGTGGGGAAGAGGATTTGTATGTGTACAGGATTTTATCAATTTGTCATTGAAGTAGTCTAGGCTGATATAAACTTTTGAATCCATAGAATCTTCTGTAATTACACAGAAGCTTTTGTTCTTTTCGAACTCTTTGGTGACAGGTGGGTAATTATTTCTGTCCATTGGTTTGAGGGTACCCGTTTTGCAAAAAAAATAATTAACGACATTTCTCCAGTAGTGTATATTGGCCTTTATTTCGTCATCCTTGAAGGATAAGGTGTGGAGTATTTTTCGGAGGTACAGACTTACCACTTCGTTGTCTACCTTTGAGCACTCCTTGAGTTTCATGAGAGTTTTGTTGTCCACGAAATTTAGGAGGTAGCTGAGTAGGTTGTGCTTCACGAAGAGGTTGGCTTGGTTTCTTTGGTAGAGGGTCTTGTGAAGGGCACAGTTCTCGGGGGGCGGGTTTCCTTCGGGGGGAGGGGCGTCGTGCAGGAAATGGGATGATGTTAATGCGGTGTGCATTACTCCCGGTGTGCAGTACTCCCGGTGTGTAGTTTTATGTGGGTCATGCCACTGTTGTACGAGCTCTGCATGGATGCATGGTGCATGTGTGCATGCATGCGCCTCTAGGGCGGCCTTCCCCGCATCACGCATTACCTATAACTTCCTTCAAGTACAAGTCTATCTTTTCCTCAGCGCGCTTTGGAAACTTCCTCTTGACTATTTCCCTAATCGTATTTAAGGCATTCTCCCTCTCGGCCTTCTCCTCATCCTGGGACTTCCGATTGGCCCTAAGGTACCGCTTCTTCTGGGCAGTGGCGTTTTCGCTGTCCTTATCAGTCCTGCACTTTAGGACCAAATTGATGTAGGTCGATTTGGACTCGATGAGGGCGTATAACTTTTTGTAAAAGCTTCCTTCTTCTGCGGGTTGGCAGGTGAGGGGGAAAAAAAAAGGAGGGAAGGGAACATGGCACTTTGGTGAAAAAAAACGGAAGAGGGAAGACTTGGGTTAAATGAGATAAGTGAACAGGGATAAGTTTTGTTTTCCCCCTTTTGCTGATCCAGTCTAGACTGACGCTTCCATCACTGAGAGCAGACGGGGTCCAGCTCCGGGGTTCGTCGAGCAACCCTAGCACAGTCCCTACTTTGGGGGACCTTAAACGTACATACTATTCACTACGGTGGCTTCTGCGTCCGTTTCCTCCTCGTCATCAAACGCGTCGTCATCGCCGCTGTCCTTGTGCCATTTTTTCAAGCGAGATCTGTCATACAGAGTTGCCTTCAACGCGACGTTCATTGTTGTCACTTTTGTTTTATTCAAGTTTGGTTAGCATGGAAGGCGGACCGGAGAGGGCACCCTGTTGATGGTTGCGTTGGTCAGCGCGTGTTGGCCAACCCGTTTGATTTCTCAACTTGGCTTAGGGGTGCCAAAATGGATGAGTCACAGTTTTACTTCACTTGGCATCACTTAGCGTCATCCTCCAACTTGCGCAACGCAGCAAAATTCAAAAAAGGAAGAAATGAAGTTAAGGTGTTCGCTCAGCAAAACACCAAATGGGTAGTGTTGCCCTGGTTAGGTTGCCTAAACCTAGGTGCACACACAGAGGGTGAAAAAAAATTGTGCGCATGCAGGGACGGGGGGGAGAGCTTGAAAAATATCACCACGCTTTGCCAACTCTGCTCACACCTTGCACATTTTTTTGTCACCTGGACTGCCTTTTTAAAAAAAAAAAAAAGCTATAACTGCAGCGTTACTATGTTTGGCTCAATTGACTTGACCTGGTTTGGGAATATCGTAATTTTCCTCACAGCCGAGTTACCTTGGGATCCGATTTTTCTTTTGTAAATGCAGTAGCAAATAAGGATGCTGATCAAAATCGGGATAAAAATACACACGTATAGGGTGTACAGCCCTCGGTAACCCACCAGGCACATGTCGCATTCGTCGCTGTGTTCGAATTTGTCAAAGTTGATTATGTCCTGCGGGGGAAGAGAAAAAAGGAGAATAAGAAAAAAAAAAGAAATAGCAAAGTGGGGAAACCTATTCGGGGGTGGGGGAGGCAGTTTCTATCCCTCCCCACGGTACGCCTGTTTCCACCTCTCCCCGCTGCGCTACGTCTCTTCTACGCTACTTCTCCGCAGTAGCACCACTTCCCCCTTACATCTCGCTCGAAGAGGAGGACGACCTCATACAGCTGCTGCGTGACGTTCATAATGCGCTCGGCGATTTTCTCCGAGGCGATTTGGTTCTTGCTGTCCTCGGCCTTGTCAATGGACAGGTAGAGGAGCTTCTTGTTCGGCTTTAAAAAGTCCAAAATTTTGAACAAAATGTAGGTGCTAAGTCCTCTGGAAAAAAAGCCTTGAAAAATAGGGGGCTGCGCTTCTTTGGTGTAAATGCAAGAACCCATAATTTTGATTCTCTCTTTGTTAGAATCCCAATTGGATAAAAGCATATCCCTTGGAAAAACAAAATTGTGTATTTGTTCTAATAAGACCTCCACATAGGTGTCAGTACTGACGAGCAGAATGAGACTTAACGTTATGTCTTCCTCAGGAGCCAGAGCCCCTTTTGTCATGTCCATATTCTGTGAATACAGGGGTTCAAATTTTACACCAAATTCACCAGAGGATGATTCTAATGAGGAAGATAAAACAGATTCATATATTATGGCCTTATATATAAAATCCGAATCATAGTAATACATTCGTTTCGTATGACTTTGTATGTTGTATTGTGTTAAAATACGTATTAGTATAATTCCTTGATTTATTTTTAAATCATGTTTGTAGAGCCCCTCTACTAAGGGGTAGCAAATGCTGCCCATATTATAACTCCGTGATTTCATCGTCCCCTTTTTCGTACGTATGTAAATAGGTAGCACTTGAATGTAGTGGAAGTACTCATACTGGTGAAGCACTTGATAAGGTAAAACAAGATTTAAGAAAATGAAAAAATGTTGAAGCAATTTGTTTCCATATTTATTCTTCAAATGGATCTCATCGTGTAGCTCCAGGATATTTTCTTCGTTAATTGATATGAAGTCAAATTTGTCTGTCACTTTGAGGAACACATTTATCTCCTTTTTGTACATATCGGTAATGGTAATGTTGTGCTCGTTTATTTGTAGCATGCAAAAGTTAATGAAGTTCAGCGTCTTCCATAGGGCTTGCCGCATTTCCTGGGTGTACATTTTGGTAGTTACGTCTGAATGAGGGGAGTAGACGGTATTAAGTGTGTGTGTGTACAAGGGGTGTGAAGGGAACGCACAGAGAAGAGAGGGGACAAATCAAAAACAGAGTACCTTACAGCCATACGTAAGACACATCTCTGCTCGGTCTACCGCACGAGCGCACCTCAGAAAAAAGCTTCCTGAAAGGGTACCCGTGCATAGGGGTATGATGGGAGGGGCTTCTCCCATCTCACCTGCTTCCTCCAACAAGAAAGGCACAACGGTCAAGTGCAGACTGATCTCCTCGACCGAGAAAATGTGATTGGTGCATATGTCCATCTCCAGGTTGGACACACGGTTGAAGGTAAAGTCGGACAGACGCAACTCGTTGTACATTTCGAGAAGACCCATATTGTAGTTCCTCATGTTCGCTTCTATTTCGGCCATCTGCGTGGGGGGGTAGCGAGGGTAGAGAAGCAGATGGAGCAGGGCGGCCGAGTGTGTCTGTTTGGCCCACTCCAGGCGCGCCTCCCGCTCACGCATAATTACCGCGGACACAAACACATCCGTGAGGTCAAACTCGAAGAACAACCACAAGTTTCTATTCGCCTTGTTCTGGCGCAAGCGCAGCAAGTTGTGCTTCACAAGGAATATCGCCTTCCTGTATTTCTCATCCTCATGGGACTCGAAAGCGTCTTGCGTCAGTGTGCACCGCAACGCGTTGTATAGATACAGTAGGGCGAAGTTCGAGAACCCCTTGGATTCATCCATCATGCTATAGTTCCTCATGGTATGTCTGATTCTGTCCACGGAGAGGAGTTCCTCTTTTCGGGTGGGGAGACGGTGGGAAAAAAGGGGACCGTGGTTGCAGAACTGGAGAGAGATGAAGCGCTTCGCGGTTTTGCCTCCATTCGCACACACACAAAAAAAAATTAGTAACCATGTGGCCACATTTTACCCGTCTTACATACCGTTGATAATTTGCTTTGTAAAGAAAAGGCAAACCAAAAGGGAGACAAACATCAGGTAGAGTTCCTTCATCCTTTCGCGCGTTAGGTTGATGCACATTATTTACCTACCGCGGCATGCGTAGATGTGGGCGGAGAGTAATGGGTAAGCAAAATATCCCATACATATACAGGCAAGGTTTAGAAGCGGGAGGTATAAGACAAATGCCGCATGTACTGGGGCTGCGCCGGGCAGGAGGCAACAAAAATGGAAAAAAAAAAAAAAATATAAAATAAAAAAAAGGGCAATCCATATAAGCAACACAACATAGTGAAACATCCATTTGGCGTTGCTGCTTCCAGCCAAGTTCACTTCAACAAAAAAAAGGACAAATCTGCACATGACTAAATCTGCATGGGCCGTGGTTATGTCCTTCCGTCCAAGCAAGCGTGCGCACAAGGGGGAGGGGCGTTCCCATATATACCACATCGCCAAAATGTAAGGGCGAAATTGGGTCCCATTCTGCGCTTTACTCCTAAGTCTTTTTCTGGTCATCCAACAAAAAAATGGTTGATACGTCGAGGTACATTTGCTTAAGTTCGTAATTTACTGACCTGATCGTTTTGTCCTTCACGATGGGGATGAAGAAGCTGGTTAGGTGGTGGAAGAAGTACAAATGTGGGATGTCGGAGGATGGTACGTGGATGGAACACTTAAGTGTGTAGAGAGGGGAAAAAATAACCACGCACATGGGAATATACTCAAAACGGAAAAAAAAAAAATATATATATAAGGCTCCCCCTCGTTCTATATATATAAAAAATTATTATTTTTTTCGCGCAAAAAGCATGATCGGGTTGCGCTTCTTTTTTTTTTTTTTTAACTTACTAATCGATAGGCTTTAGCTTGGAGACCATGTTCCTGTCCACCTCGTATAGGTTTTCCTTGGGGGAGCTGGCCTGGGATGCGTTAAACAGCAGTTCCTCATCCGTGGGGAAGTGCGAACTTTCGTGTTCGCTCGCCTCCCGAAGGTCTTCATACACATCTTCACAGAAGTCACACTTGTAAATCTTTTTGTAAGAGCAGCCTTCAAAGTTGTCAAGTGAGTCGTAGTAGTTCTTGTCGCCCTTCACTGGTTCGTCGTTTAAGATGCGGTCTTGTTCGTCACCCCCACCGTAGTCTTGGTTATTGCCGTGCTCCATCTTATACTCTTCCGCGCGTAGTTGTTCGCTTAGCTCACCGTCTAGATCACCCGTGAGGGAAAAGCCTTTCCGGTTGATGAGCACCCTGACGGGTTTCCCCTCCCCCGCTGTGGAAGGGGAAGAAGACGCGGTTCTCATGGCATACATTTGCGCAGCAGATATGATGTGGAAAACTTTTTGCAGAGAAATGTCCTTTTTGATTTGAATTTTAATCAAATCTTCTGCAATGCTTTGTGTGGATTTCTTACATATATAATCGTACTTGGATATGAAGGAGAGGACTTTTCCTATGCAGGTATTGGTAAGGTCATTAAAAATGAATATATGAAAATTGAGTAGGTCAGTAGATATGTACTGATTTTCACTTAAGCTTGGGAATTTCCTTTTATCATCACAAATTAGACAGGACTTTAATTTAAGTGCATCTGTTCTTGAATTTATTCCTTCAATTTTGACGTACAGAAACCCTACCTTTAGGGATTCTTTCACATCTGTTAATTTAATTGGAAGAGGGTAGGGGTGCGTATTCATAAATAAATACCTGTACATATTTTTCTTGAATCTTATATCGTTAAATGTGGTAAAACTTACTACCTTTAACCATCCTTGTAGTCCGTGTACTCCTACAATTTCCCCAATCACGGTGAACTCGTTCATTAAAGATACAGCCCTACTACTCTGCTTACCACTTGTGTAATTCTCCTCTTCTTTTTCATTCTTTATCGTACCCATTGGTTTAGTACTGCTTTCTTTTGTATGCGGGTCTATTGTTAGATCGAGCTCGTTAGGCCTATTCTTATCCGCATAGTAGTTAGTGATAAAAAATTGTGGCAAATTGAGGTGCTCATTTTGTGCGCCTTTTCTCATGTGATTTGTGAGGAGATCACCCTCCGATTCGATAGAGGTGATGGGAGGAAGTTCATTGTGGAGTAGTCCCTTTTGATGAAAGCGCTGTCCATTGTTTCCAATTGTCAATTGCCTTTCTTCTCCTGTTTTTTTTTTTATGAAACCTGCTTTGGAGTATTTGCTCCTTTTGTAATACTTGGTGTCTGTTAGGAAAACCCTCTCACATTCTTCTTCCTCCTTCTGCTCGGCTGACTCTACACGTTCGCTTGTTTTATTGGGAGGGAGCGGCTTTATGCATTCGTTTGGGGATGTGTCGCGGTTTCCATCGCAGGGATCACATTGTCGACTAGATGAGAACAGTTGGATGGAGCGGGGAGGGAGGTACGTTCCTCCGACACGATATACATGCTGCCTATTCGCATGCGCTGTCTGACGACTTTTGTTCGCTTCTCCTATATGTGCAGATACACGAAAGAATAGGAAGGAGGCTCTCTTCTCCACCCAGTTCCGTCGACCACATTCGTCATGAAGGCTATATCTTTGCAATGGAAAATCATTTTTTTTACGTCTCGTGGTGAATCTTCTACGGAGGGGGAAGTATTGTCCGGAGGGCTTGTTAACGACGCTATTGGGAAGAACATATTCGGTGTAGGCATACCCCCCTTTCGCTGTGGCCACTATCCATGTTGCTCCTTTCCCTGTGAAGGGAAGCCAACATTTGGCTAGCTGCCCAAGTGTCAGAACTGCGATAACCTTTTTCAGCCTTGACACGCATCTTTTCATTTATATATTTCGCGTGAATGGCAACAGTTGGGGGGAGAGGGTGTATCACTCTAGTGCGGATCCTGATGTGCACCCTGTCGCGAGGAGCCAAACTGTACAACTACGACAGCTGCATATACTGCTGCCGCCTGAACGTGTTAAGGTGGAACATGCTACATTCGTGACTCGTTTGGCGTGCTATTTTTTTTTTTTTTTTTTTTTTGTTTAAATTGGGTTTACACTTGGCCGGGGTGTACACAAAGTAGGGGTGTGAGAAATTGGGTCCCCTATATCCGTCACGGGTGTTTGTTATGAATCACCAACATGTAGCTTCAATCATCACTCCATTTCATTCTATCCAAGTATATGTCGCATAGTTCAACCGGTACCGTTTCAAATGAACAATTAACGCGGTAAAGAATTCACCAACCGAAATGGGTAATAAATGGACCTTTTTTTTTTTTCTCATTAGTTGCAAAAAATTTAATCTTATTTTTTAAATTGAGAAGGTGTAAATTTAATTTCGCTACTAAGTTGTAAAGTGTGACGCATCGCATTTGTTGGAAGCAAGTGTGACCGGAAGAACAAACCTCCTTCGTCTAAAGCCTCAGATATTTTTTGATTATTCACATGTTTCGCTAATCCGCCTTATGTGTGTATAAGGGGTAGCAGATTAAGGGCAACGGTCCGAATGCTCCACGTCAAAAAGAGAGCCACTCATCCCATGTCTCGTATGCAGACAAAACGAAACACACATATCGACACACCCTAAACTTTTGCATAGCCAAACGGTATATCCTTTTTTAAAGCAGAACGGAAAGCATAGTGGTAAAAAAAAAAACAAAATTGAGCAATGCGAAGTGTACAGCGTACAAATACATATGTTATTCTTGTGTGGTGAGCAAAATATGTATAGGCCACGGTATAGTCTTTTCCTTTACATTCCCTGGGCAAGTAACAGCGGTTGTGTTTCACATAGGACAGGGGCACCAACGTGGTGGAATCAGCACTGCACAAAATTTTATCAATACGCCCAGTGTAACAGAAACTTAGAAAATTGGTGAAGCCACCCTTTTTATGAGCAATTATGAAGAGGATCTCACCTCAATCCGAAACATATTGCGATCCCTTGTAGCTTCTTATCGCCTGACTGATTTGCCTATACCTTTGCCGCGCAGCATTGCCTTCAATTCTCCCTTAGCATTTCTTGTTCTCATTTTGCGTATCGCTTGGAGGAAGAATACGTTTGGGCATGCCAAGCCAAGCCATAACTGCGCAGTGTGTATCTTTTTTTTTTTTTTTTTTTTTTTCCTTTTTTTTCCACTTCATATGATTATTACAGCTGCAAAACAACTGCACGTTGGAAGCCCCCCAAAAAACAGCTGATGAGGAAGAGGGTGTACAAAAATACAAAGTGTGCAAAGCTTAGGGATGCGATAAAATGGTTAAGTCCTTTATATATTCATATGAGCGATTGAGTGAGCGAACCGGAATACACGTAACGCAGGTTAGCTAGAAATATGTGTATAGGCCGGTCCGCCGATGGCTACAAAAAAAAGGCGTTCTTTTTGTTTTTTGTCTTGTTGTTGCTCTTCTTCCCCCATTGAGGGGAACACCTCTGTGTCAGCATACGTTATGCAGAGGTATATACATGTATACCATTTGCATACAATTGTGTGTATTCACCACCAGCGTGCATACCTACATAGGGACGCATAGCAGCATACGTGTTTGCGCCATGGCATTGTTATATGTAAGCTTCCCGCCATTAGTATAGGTCGCATCATTTTGTAGTCATTTTATATTTTGCGTTTTCATTTAGCCGCCTTTGTTCTCGCGTTTGGTTTTATCGCTTTTTTTTTTCGTTTTACTTTTTGGGGGCTTTACCTCTAATCTACGCGTCGTACCATCGCGCTTCTCGTTTTAATTATGCGCTTTTTCCCATTTGCAAAGGTGGATAGGTATGCATACAAATAATTACAAGTGCGTACAAATCATTATAATATATTTTTTTTTTCCCCTACACCGTTAATTTTTTTTTT